ACCAATCCCGTTTGGGAAGGGAACAACTGACTGAAGTCACTGCTGCCCCTTGAACTTGCCAGTCCTGCCTGGTCCAGAATGTCATCCACTGGAGCCCCCCTATTTATGGAATGGCACCACTTCCATCACTCACCACAGGTTGATGTAGGCTCCCCACCAACTCAGCTCTCCGTTCGGCTCGCTGACACTCGAACTCAATGTACTGCACCTCCAGTGAGTCAAAGTGGTGGGACCCCGGCCAGTCATGGCAGGGTCAGTCACCATAGGGCCCCGGCAAGTCTTGGTGGGACCCCAGCAAGTCACAGCGTCGGCCAGTAGTAGCGGGGCCTTGGATGGTCAGCAAGTCGCCTAAATTTCTTCTTGGGACGAGATAATTCATCGCCTTCTGTTTAGGGATCCCCAGTCTGTATTATGTGAATTCTAAGTTGACTGCCTCAAGCAGCCTCTGTAACCAGTTGTTATCTATCTGCCATCTTTGCTCCTCCTTTGCGCTCACTATTGATGGATTCCACCAGTGTGAAGCTATACCAGGCTCAGCCTGGTACCTGCCCAAAAAGCACTGAACCCTAAAAACGACAGCGTGTCCTGTCAATGGTAACTTCTGCCTTCTTCTCATTCCTTTCAGTTTTAACAGAGATGATATTTAAAAATTTTTGTCCATAATAAAATCTACTACAATCTATATTATACAACAAATTTTCCTAATTAACTTCAAAGTTCCTAGTAAGAAGTGTATGTAGAATTTGTATTAATAGTCCTAACAAAAATGAATTTATTATGGTACATTTCCCTAAAATAATTAAAGTGTGATATTTTCTATATCAAACCAACTCACCTAGTTATAATATTGTGATACCAGTTTAAAAATACATTTTGTTTTGCCAAATACATTTTCTTCAAGGAGTTTTGGATGATACAATTATGTTAACTTTAAGGGATTCATCCTTAAAAAAGGAGTTATTTGCACAATCATGTACAAAGTAGTTATTGGTTAGGTGATTTAACATACTCATTTATGCAGTAGATGTTAATTCCCTTGTGACTGTTGTAGAAAATGAACAAAAGCCCCAAGAAACCAAAGGAAGATGGTGCTTGAAGGGAGATATGGGGGCCGTATGAGAATCTGACCTTTCAAATGACACCCAGATATTACAACAAAGATTAAAATGTCACTTGGATATAGCAACAAGGAAGTCATTGGTGACCATAGCAAAAGTTCTCTTGGTGCAGAGACAAAAGTAGGTGGGAAATCCTACTGGTCATGATATGACAGTTAGGACATTTGGACAACAGAGAGCAATAATCCTTAGTGCCTTTTGGATGAGAAAGGAGAGAGCGCACTGGCTAAAGTGGGTGTTGGCTTGAGAATGGATTAAAAATAACCAGAGACTTGATAAAAAGCTGATTTTAATAGTATGGAGAGAAGGGAAGAATGGATAGAAAGAGAAAGGGAGAGAGAAAGTGTGGAAAGGGCAAGAAAGAAAGAGACTAGCTATATGATTAGAAGGAGAAATTAAGACTCCTGAAAAGGGAGGAGACAGAGTGTGTAAGAGAAGTGGAAGGATTAGCTTACAGACAGCTTCTCTATGCTAACAGAAGAGTACAGCAGGGAGCAAGAGAGGGTTTAGCTTTGGGAAGCTGAGTCAGTCCTCATTGGTTGGTTTTAAAGTAAGAACTGAGGTGAGTCCTATTCTGAGAGGAAGAACAGAAGAAAGTTTGAAAAAGGGAGAAATTTTAAACCAGCAATGACATAATCCTGTGATACATAAGGATACAAAAGGATTGCATAATCCTTTTGATAGTCACATTTAACGCTCCAATCGTGGGTAGAGAGAGGAGATTGTTCTGTTGATCTGGTGTTGGCTTTTACCAGATGAAAGATGGATGAGAGAAAAATTTAGAGGAGTGAGGAGGTTCAGGGAAATAGCTTCAATGCCACTGCGATGAAGTTTCAAAAGTCAATATTCAGGGAACTGAAAAAGGGAGAAAGTTGATAGGCTGAAAGTAGGTTAGAGGGACCAATGAGTAGCAAATCCCAGAAGAGTCAGAGGATGGTGGTGGTGAAATCAGTTGAATGAGTAAGAGGCAAACATACTAGAGTTAAGAATATAGAATTCAGAAACCAGAGGGCCTCCTAGTAGTACTAAATTGAGTTAAGAAAATACCTGGTTAGGGAGATGGTGTTATTATATGTTATATAAATTAATGTGATAGGTTTTGAAGTCAATATAGCTTTTAAGACAAAAGTAGCAAATTTTGCCAGCAAAATTAGCAAAATGTAAGGATGACGTGCATTGCAATATGTGCATGTCTGATTAGATGCTGTGCCTCCAGTCGGGTTAATTTTGAGGTTGTGGACAGTAGATTTGGGAATAGGGAGGTCCAGAGACAGGACTGCTCAGACTTCACTGCAATGGAGAGTAGCGTTGTTCTATTAGTTTTTCTTACCTGGTGTGTTTCGTGGGGTGGTAAACTCTGTCTGAGTGGTTTATGTGCAGAAAAGCCTCAAAAGACCTCTGAATAAAGCAACATTTGTGGCAACAGTTCCCAGGGGTTATGAGTGCAAGAAGAAAATTTTGCAAGTATGGAGAGGATGCTGGAATACTGAGTTTCCTATGAGTTTCTTCCTCTTCTCCCTTTTCTCTCTGGTTATTGGAGAAAATGGGACTAATCATGAGCCTGGTTTCTGGACGCGAGGTACTTTTCGATATATATGAGATATTCCCGAAGGCTCTTGCACCTCCTCCACTGACCCTAGTTATAGGGATATTAAATGGAATATACTTCATCACAGGATTTCAGATGGCAAGGACCTTTCAGACAGCACAGAGATTATCCCTGTGATTCTTCTGGGAGCACTTTAATAAGGAAATTTCTTCTATTATGTAGGAACACAAGAAAGTTCATAATTCCTTACCTCTCTGCATGTATTTTAAACTGATTTTACAACTAACAAAGGTACTTTTCTCAGAATTATGACCAGTTCAAGTGTTTCTCTCTCTATGATGTCTTAGCTGATCATTCAGCAAGAAATCATATTCCTCTTTTGAATTCCTGTAGTGCTTTAGCTATGAGTCTTGTGTTTATTATTTGCTACCTTGAAATATAGTTATTTATGCAGATATCTTGTCTCTCTGTTAAGACTGTGAGCTTTAAAGGGATAGTTAGTTTGATATCATTGTTATGTTCATCACTATATTTATTATAATTATTAAGCATTCAGTTCTTGAGTGAATAAAAAGTAAATGTAGTTGATTCTAGCACATTCTCTTTTGGTCTGTAGACCCATAATTATCTCTGTTTTTACCAAGACATGTGATCTACAAGCCTGAAACAGTCCCACCCACCAGTGCTGGTGTTGTAGTGAATGTGCTATCCCATATCGTGTCATGCCAGTGCTATGTCCTCTTGAAGATCACTTGTAAATTAACTATGAATGATCTCACATTGGCTGGTTGCTTAAACCTCTGGTACAGAGGAAATGCGTCACTAAGCATGAATCTAGGAAAATAAACCCTACGCAAGCTAATGCCATAAGTTCTTTCAAATAATATTTTTTGGAGGAGAAGTTTTAAAATTACAGAAGCTGTTATTTCATATATTTTGTGTAATGGACACAGCTTACAATATGTTTTACTGAACAAGAACTGATTCTAATGGAGGTAAAATAAAGCAGATGTGACTATCACATGTGTCTTGTAACTTGGAAGAACCCATCCAAGCTGCCTTCATATTTCTTGGGCAATGATCAGAGACTTGTCAGGAAGTCCTAATATTGTCAGAACACATTCTTGATCATGAGAGGCCCTGATAACAACGGTCATTCATTTTTTCAAAGGTAGATACTTGTTTCAGAGGGAGAATTAACCAGACCCTGTAAGTTGTGGCACGGGCTGCTGATGACGTTGGGAGTCTCTGGATTGGGAGAGAGGTTGAGTATCTGAATACAGCACGGAGGTCAGGGGAAATCTAGTTTGGAGGTATAGAAAGAGAAGATTAGCCTTGGCTTTAGACATATTGAGAAAAGGAGCTGCTAACCACAGTACACTGGGAAGATGTGGTGTGACTTGAAAGGAAGCTCAGGATCAGGAGAAGTTCAGAAGATCCTTGCATAGAGCTTATAGTTCAAGCTCTGAAACAGAAAAAAGCAAGGTGCAGAGTCAGAAGTTTAAGAGAGAATCACAGGAAACGTTCTTATCAAGGGGACCAAAGGAGTAGTATACAGTGACTCAAAACACTTTTAGTGTCATCTCAGACTTTGTTGAAAAAAGCCACTGGCGTCTGCTAGATGTTTTCAATAAATACATTCCCAGACATTGTTTCTGGCAATAGATTGGACTAAACACACTTTAAAGCATCTGATGACAGTAAATTTATCTGAACAATCCTGTGCTGCCTCGTGATCCACTGACAGTGGAGAGGCCTGGGGACTGTGTGGACTGCAGAGCCTGGCCTCAGGGTTGTTAATGTTTCACTGCAAAGGGTCTTTCAAGTCACTCAGTACATGGTCTAAGTAACAGTTAATGTAGATGAATTATTAAAGACTGAAAACTTATTGTATCCAGATTCGTGCTAATTTGGGTCAGCACTAAAGAGACAAATAAGAATGATGTGTAGCTAATGTCTGTTTTTTACTCACCAACGTTTTATTTTTATCCTAGCCAGATTTTGATTGTAGCTTTGGGTTAGGGTGAGTTTCCGCCATGGTGATTAATAGCTCTTTGGAATAATACCAGACCAGTAAATATGTTAAAAAATCAGGCTGGAATACCATTAAAGGTTTGTCTACTACGGAAAAGTGTTTCAGAAATAGAAGACCTGTTGGTTTGTTTATGAGTGTGATTTGCTGACTATTCTTATTTCATGCCCTCATGAACGTGCAGTAAAATCTCTGAGGAATGAGGCCACCCTGAATAGATAGCTGTAATCTAACATTTGTACCACGAGTTGGATTGTTTTGTAATATTAAAACCATGTTTCATTTTCTTCTCATACTTTAGGTCTTGGGAGTTGATGACAATAACGTGGGCGATGGCTGTTCTCAGAAGTTGGCAGCTGTTAATCTTCTCCGCTTCCTGCTGCTGGTCTTGATTCCCTGCATCTGTGCTCTCGTTGTTCTACTGGTGATCTTGCTCTGTTTGGTTGGTAGGTAATATTATTAAGAACATGAAGTCAAAATTAAAATTAGCATGGTTTATAATGATGATTACTACATACCACTGAGTTGACCTAATGTGTCAAATAATAAGAGGATTAACTATGAACTGTGTTAGGCAAATATGCTATTTCAGACAGGGTAATTACTCAGCCGGATATTGTTATTAATATTAATTAATTAAAATCATTTAAGTAGTGATTACTAGATTGTAGGCACTTTGAAAGCCCAAGCAAACTCAAAGATAGTTGAATTAGTCCTTCTTATTCAAATGGCCAGTAAATATATGAAAAATGCTAAATCTCTTTAGCCATCAGGGAAATACAAATCGAAACCAGAGAGATATTTCATCTCATCCCATTCAGACTGGCTATTACCAGAAACAAAAAATAATAAATATTGGTGAGGATGTGGAGAAAAAGGGACTCTCATACATTTTTGATGAAAATGTAAATCCATATAACCACCATGGAAAATAGAATGGAAATTCTTGAAAAAAAAGTCAAAATAGTTCTGCCATGTAATCCATAATACTGTTCCTGGATATCTATTCAGAGGAACTGAGGTCAGCATACAAAAGAGATACTGTATACCTGTTTCTCCCAGCACTGTTCACAATAACCAAGAGACAGAATTAGCCTCGGTGCTCATCAACAGATGAATGGATAAAGAAACACACACACACACACACACACACACACACACACACACACACACTAGCGTGTTATTCACCCATAAAGAAGAATGAAATCATGACATTTTCAGGACAGTGAATGGAGATCATGTTAAGTGAAATAAGCCTGGCACAGAAAGACAACTATTACGTGTTTGCTCTCACACATAGGAATTTTTAAAAAATCCCTAAGACAAGAGTATTTGTTAGTGAAAGGGAAGGAAACTGGTGGAAGAAAGTGAAAAATGGGCAGCAGAGCAGAAAGCGGGATAGATATGACCAAAACACAGTACATGCAGGTATGTAAATCCATATAACCACCATGGAAAATAGAATGGAAAGTAAGGAGTGAAACTCATTACTTTGTACAATAAATGTGTTAATAAAAGCAATAATAACAACTAGTCGTTAGGTGCTCACAGTGGAGAGGAAAAAATGATGATCATACAAGGTGACATGAAATGAAGATAGAGATATAGAAACGTGCTTTGGAGGACGTCAGATAAGCTTTTGTGGGCTGTTAACACTTTAATCTTTGTTAGTAAGCTGACAGACATACTGTCAGAAAGTAGTAGTTCAGAGTTACATTTGATAGAGAAAGATATCAAGTACAAAACAAGACTTCATGGCAGAAGGAGATGGACTTAGGGAACTGGGTAAAAATTTGGCACTTGGGGAATGTGCGGCTTATTGAAATCCAAGTAACTTGGGATGTTAAAAGTTCATAGTAAGAAGCTTGGGCTTCAGCAACTATCTTTCATTGGTTTTCAAATTCTATCCCATGGAACCAAGGTTTTGAAGAGGAGGCTGAAGGGGTGACCAATGTTTGCTGTAACTTTCAGTTTTAAAACTAGATTATAAAGACACATTCTAAATATTTTATACCAAAGTTTAATCAGGCAAAAATCAGCAACCACATACTATGTGTGTATATATATGTTACAGTCTCTTTTAAATGAACAATAGTCTAAGATTGAAAGGTGAACTCCTGGGAAGAAATAATTACCATTGGTGGCTACCTAGTGATATGAATCAGAATTCTTTAGATGTGTGCAATCAGTAAGATATTTAACTAACAAAATGATGCTGATCTATTTCTATGGCTAATGATTTTGAACTTTTTATTTTATCATAACTACCTATTATATTCTTGTTTATTGGTTTTTTATACATTTAAAACTTACAAATTAAGTTAATCACGGTAAAACAAAGTTCCTATTTATTGTGAATATTAGGATTTTACATGATATTTTGAAAATATGTCAGTTATTCCTCTACATACGTGGAGGATGAGTTCGAAGACCTCCCTTGATACCACAACCCCCAGATGCTTAAGTCTCTGAAATAAAATAATATAGTATTTGTGTGTAACCTATGCACATCCTCTCAAAATCATCTCTAGATTCCTTATAATGCCTAATACAATGTAAATGGAATGTAAATAGTTGTTATATTATTTAGGGAATAATAAAAAATAAAGTTAGTATGTGTTCAGTGCAGGTGTAATTTTTCTTTTTGCCCTTAGTACTTTCGTTTTGTGGCTAGTTAAATCTGTGAATATGGAGGGAGGACTGTATCCATTTGCTCCAAAATGTGCTTGAAAAATTGCTGCTATGAGTGGTGGACTGACATTGGAAGATCTTTCCAAAAGAGAACTCTGATCATATTTGTATGTGTAGAAAAACAGAAGTAGGCACTGAGTGTTCAGCAATTATAAAGGAAACAAATTTGGTAACATGGCTAAGGAAAAGATATTGAAATTTGAAATAAGGCATTGCATCGACAGAAATCATATGGATTAGATCTTGGTGAGGGTGAGGAGGAAAAAAATCAACGCTGACTCCTGGATTTTGGACTTCCGTAGCCAGGTGATTCTGGTGACATCTGTGAATGATGGCAGAGAAAAAGTGGCTGAGTCTGGTGCGGGCTGATGGAGTTTGGGTTTGTAAAGTTAGAGGTGCTGCGGACTCATACTGTAGGCGCGTTTTTCCTGAACAATTCAACAGTACAGACTGGGCCAAGACAGTAACTCCAACATGTTCCCTTCCAAAGGGAATTTAAAGAGAAACATATGACGTGGTTACCTGGTTTATGTGTTGATCTTAGAATTTAACTCCCAGTTCACTGTGACAGGTCTAGAACTAGTAACATCACACACACACACACACACACACACACACACACACACACACACACACACACACACACACACACACACACACACACACACACAGGCCGAGACAGGAGCTCTGACTACAGGGGAGGACGCGGGAGTCTCAGGGAAGCAGCAGGAGTCATTGAGGTGCTGGAATGCATTAAGAGCTAAGAGCTAAGCAATGGAAGACTCTAGGGTTGAATGGCAGCACAAAAAGAAGAGGGAGCAGGAGATACAGAAGAGTGGCCAGAGAAGAAGGAAGAGGATGTGCGAGCCGGGGGCTTCACGGGTGCCAGTGAAGGTGAGACACGTCCGAGTTTGCAGGGTGACCAATAGCGCAGGACAGAGAAGGTCCCTCGACCGCAGGGCTGTCTTGCCTCCCAGTGCTGTCGGCAGCTGCTTGTTGGTTTGAATCTCATCCCGTGTATAGTCAGCCATCTCTGGAAGGCTCTGGCTCCTTTACTCACAGCACTGTCGTTTAGAAATGTTTAGTTTCTCATGGTCCACTGTCAGTGTTTGACAAACACTGAGAGTATTTCCTTTCATGCTCAAGGTTCCACACAGATGTGAATTTAAAACACAGTTTTAAATGTCTCTGAGTCAGAGGGCAGAGGGGAAATGGAAATAATGTTTTAATAATTTTTACTTATTAAATTTTAAAATATAATTTTTACTGCTAAATCGAGATTTAATTTTTATGCTATAAAATCTCACCGCTTAAGGTGTGTGATTCAGCGACCTCTAGTTTGTGTGTGCAGCCAAGTGTAATCATTACCACAGTCAGTCTTAGAACACTTTCATCACCTCAAAAAGAAATCCCTGTACTACCACTGACTTTCTTCTTGTCTCCTTATCCCAGCTTTAAACAACTGTAAACTATTTTCTATCCCTATAGATTTCTATCTCTATAGATTTCTATCTGTATAGATAGATACAGTTCTATCTCTATAGATATCTATAGATTCTATCTCTAGAGATCTATTTTCTATCTCTGTAGATCTCTATGTTAGACATTCTGTGTGACCATCTGTGGTCTTTTGTGACTGAATTCTTTTACTTAGAATAACGTTCCTAAGGTTCATCCAAGTTATAGTGTATGTCACTGTTTCCTTCTTTTTGATGGCTGAGTAATATTTTGTTGTATAGATGTAACACTTTATTTGTCAGTTAATGGGCATTGTGTTGTCATCTTTTTGATATTATAAATTATTCATTATCTGGCTATGAAGTTCATGTATAATTTTTTTAATTTTTAATTTTAAAGAGAATAAAACAAAAGAGAACAGAACAAAGCAAATCAGAACAGAACAATGCAAACAAATCAGAACAATGCAAGCAACACAACACTTCACAAACAGACAACCAGACATCAATAGTAGCTACTATGATGTCTCTTTTCTTTTTTGAGACAGGGTCTCTCTATACCGTTCAGGCCGGCCTTCAGTTCACTTTGTAGCCCAGGCTGGTTTTGAACTTGCAACAATCCTCCTGCCTCAGCCTCCCAAGTGCTGGGATTACAGGCATGAGCCACCATGTCTCTTTTCTTCAAAATAGTTGAGCATACCTTGGCACACATTAACATCAAATATAACAATATAGTATAAAACCAGTCAAAAGAATGAAAGTGTTATAGGACTTCAAAACCAAATAACAGGAAATGAACAATGGCTACTATAACATCTCATTTTCCTCAAAAAATTGTCTATACTATCACACATAATCAAATCAAATAAACTACAACAGGATAGGACCAATCAAAACAGAAGAACAAAAGCATGGTAGGACTTCAGAGCAAGATGATAGTAAATCAACAATGGCTACCAAAATGTCTTGTTTTCTTCAAAATAGCGGTTCATACCATTACACATAATAAGATCAAACAAAACAGAATAAAACCAATCAAACAAATGAGTGAAAGCATTATAAGACTTGAAAGCAATATAATTGGAAATGACGATTACCATAATATATCCCATTATATTCAAAATAGCTGCCCCCACCATCTGATAGCATAGAATCTAACAAAACAAGGCAGAACAAAGCCAAACCTAACAAGATTGTGTGAATAATACAAGAGTTCAAGATAAGACAATAAGAAATTGACAGTAGTTGCCATCTTTCCCTCCCAGGTATTTCTTCCCCTTTGCTCTTACATTAACTAT